TATTCATTGTCATTTATGTTTAATTATGTATATATTTGATATTTCAAATGTTATTTATGCCAAAAAATACATGCAAAAAATAACATTTGAAATATTAAATATATACATAATTACAAATTTAAAAATAAATGACAATGAATCAATAAAAAATCTAAATTTATGTTATGACTTTTTAAAACATTCAGTTTCTCACATTTAAAATTAATCTTTTAATTCATTATCACTCTCTTTTATTGATAAACTAGTGCAATGACAGTTAGAAAAAGTAAATAGAAAAATACAGTAGAAGGAAAGCCAAGACAAATAAGAAACATGCTAAATGTGTAGCATCCAGAGTGACCCACTCCATCTGGAGACCACAAGGTTGTGCGTGTGTGCATCTCATAGCAGTTTTTGTCAAGACACGCTCAGCAAGCAAACACACAGATAAGCTGGACATGCATACATAAACACACACGACCATTAGCACATCAAAAGGAAAACATGTTCTATCAGCAGCCTATTTCTTTAGTGGCTTTATGCACACTTAATATCCCGACTTCTGACCATAGCATTCTGCTGTCTAATTCTCAGAAGCATTAACAGGTTTTTATTAACATGAAACATAAGGATTTGGACTCTTTGAGGCATTTTATTTGCGTAATAGTTAATTGTTTAGAATTTCTGAGAATTTTATTAGCTCTGTCCCTGAATTTCACAATGTTTCCAAGTAGGAAATTCTGACATAACATGTACTCAAAAAAACTAATATTTAAGGCAAGTTGAACCTCTTGAAAACATCCCAAACTAAAAATGACTGAAGAAGATAAAGAAAAGGCCTTGATGTCTTTTAATAATGCATCATATTTTCTGAATGAAATCCAATACTTGGTTCTCACTAATTTTGGGTGCTGATTCCAAATAATTGTAGCTGTTTTGCTCGAGCACGTCACACTTTCTCACAAAATATGATGCATTTTGTAGCATTTTACTTTTGACAACCATTTCTAATATGAAGAAATCTCGTATTAACCCTTAATAAGCAGAAAAACTGCTGACATGATTCCAATCTTCCTCTGAGTCAGATTACAACTGTTTGTTCAATTCTCAGTCCATTTTCAAATGTATGAATGATTCTGAAGACATGATTTTATGATACTGATTTGATCCTGATTTCCACTTTTCCACTCCTTTGCAGAATGTAAGTTAAATGATACATTTTGAATATTTATTTTTTGTAATTAAAACCAAAACTTTTGACATTTGACTGCTTTTGTTATTTTGATAAGTGCATGAAAGCTGACACACACACACACACACTCCCACATATATATATATATATATATATGTATATATATAAAATTTGAAAAATCTTCATTCTTATTTTGTGAAAAAAAACTTAATGCTGATATTTTTTAATTCAGCATCATCAAAATAGGTAATATTAGGTCACCTTTGCAAATCATCTTTTTTTCCCCAAGATGGGCTGTGTAATATATACATTATAAATGTACTATAAATATTGTAAACTCTTTTATATTTAAATATAAAAAATTGCATATATATATATATATGAAGGAGACAAATAAAAATCTATGATGTCAGCTTTAAACTTACATTTGGTGACCACGCCTTCCAGGTGAATGATATTAGGATGGTCAAACTGGCCAATCACGCTGGCCTCGCTCAGGAAGTCCAGCCTCTGCTGCTCGGTAAACCCCGCCTTCAGCGTTTTGATGGCCACACAGATCTCTCGCTTTCCAGGAAGTTTCAGACGGCCGCTGCACACCTCGCCAAACTCACCTACAGAGACAGGAAGTGACTTTTACATGCATCTATCATCAATAAATGACTTTATTGCTAACAATGCAAAAGGGCCGTTAACGCACCGATGCCGATCACCTTCTCGATCTTGATACAGGAGGTATTGATCTCCTTAGCGAACTCCCTGATGGCCTGGTTGGGGTCTTCGTAGGTGTAAGGGTCCACATATATTCTCACCCCTACCGGCACATTAACAGAAGCTTTGAGAACAGAAAAGTTTAATTTTGTGGTCCAGCTGAAGACTGATGAAAGGTGTTTTCTTACCTGGCTGCAGGTTTTTCTCCTCTGCCTGTTTAGTTTTGCTGTATTTGCTCCTCCTGAGATGAAAATATTCACAATTTTTCAGCATTTATTATTTTATTTATCTATCAATCACAGTGGTATTTTACTATTATTTATACACTATTATAGTATTTATTCATATTGTGAATTTGCTTTTGAATACTTCACAACTTTTGACATTTGACTGCTTTTGTTATTTTGATAAGTGCATTAAAGCTGATATATATAACTAATTTAAATTCTTCATTCTTATGTTGTGAAAAAAAACTACATAATGAAAAGTTTTTTATTGATATTTGTGAACTCAGCATCATGAAATTAGCTAATACTTTAAGCAAATAAGCAGATTTTTTTTTCAAGATGCGGGGCAGTGTAATACATACATATACAAACATATATTTAAAAAATAAATAAATAAAATAACTTCTAATTTCATATTTTACACATACATATATAAATAATTTTTTTAAATGATATTCATATTATATTTTAATTGTAGTTAAAGTTTTATTAATTTTGTTATGTGCTTTTGTCATTTTTGATTAGTTTTAGTTTTTAAATATTTCTGTTTAGTTTTAATTAATTTTTATTTCAGTTTTATTAATTTTTGTGCCTCAACATTTTTATTACTTTTTAGTTTCAATTAACATTAATAACACTGGCCTGTCATCATGGAAAAAATACTGGATGTTCTGTCACCTTTTGGTGATGATGAAGGTAATGATGAGGGTGAGGAGGAGAACAACAACACATCCGGCCACCAACAGCAGCAGCACAGCAGAGCTAATGACTCCTCCAACAACAGGAGCTGCGACTGAGAGAGACACAATTAGATTTCTTCTTCAAATCATGCAGCATATATTTAAGAGAGTATTGTGGGTCCTAATCCACGTACTTATGCACTATTCTATGCCGTTTTGTACTATAAATAGTGTGAGTAGTGCGTTCACACTGAAAATTCTAAAAAAAAGTGCAATTTAAATACCCGAATGACACACTTAAATAACCGAAAAACAAAGGGGGAGGAGCTATCAGACTCCAAAGTTGAATGACAAAATAACCTCATATAATTCCTACACAACACGGTTGAGTACATAGCACATAGGTACATAGTGTATAAGTGCATAGTGTATTGTGGATAGGGCTGGGCGATATAGCTAAAAAATGTATCAACGATATAATGTTTCATATCGTTCGGTATCGATAATTATTGACATTTTTATAACCTTTTTTAAAACAAAGAGCAATAGAAAAAATGTTTAAATTTAACCACTGTATTTTTAAATTAACCCAAATTATTGAGGCAAACAACAAATATTTTTCGTTTTAACAATCAAACACAAAATAAATATAAAATATAAAATTTCTAATGTTTTATATGCAGATTAAATAGGTTTTAAGGAAACTTTTGTCTTGTCTCCCGAGGCCACAGGAAGGCGCAATGAGTAAAATAATGCTGCGCATTTAAATTGTCAACGCAAGGAAGTAACTCTATAAAAAAAAAACGTGCATTACATCTAAATTAACTCATAAAAATCAAATATAAATTTCATAAACAATTATGAACAAAACAGCATCATGTATTTATGTGTACCGTCGATAAATATCGATACCGTTTTATCGCCTAGGCCTAATTGTGGAAGCAGCATGTTGTATTTTTATATTAGGTATTCATTATGTTTGTTGAGTATATGTGAAGCCGTTTCTAGATCATTCTTACTCAAATAAACACATATGAACTCGACACCCACCAGTGTTGGTGCTGAACTCAAAGGGGGCGCTGAACTCCCCATATCCCGCGGCGGTGCGAGCGCGCACATGAAACATGTAGGAAGTCAGCGGAGTCAGGTCTTTAATATCAGCACTACGAGACGTCGTCTTTACGATGCGATAACTCCTCTCGTTCTGATCCTGAGATTCATAAATAAGGAGAGAGACAGAGAACGGAAGCCGAGAGGAAGGTAAGAAGTCAAAGGGCACATTAGGGGGATATTTTAACTCTAATAAAAACCTCACTTCCTGTTTATCCAGACAGCAAATGTCCACAGGGATTGCCGTTGTGTGTTTGAACAACAACATCTTAAAGGAACAGCACACCCAAAATGTTAGGGTGAACTATGCCTTAAAAACATGACAAAAACAAGAACATTCACCTTCTCGTAGTATTTGACCTCATACTCCAGTATGACGCCGTTAGGTTTCTCGGGTTCGTCCCAGAACAGAGAGAGCGTGTGGCGCGTGATGTCCTTACTCTGAACCATCATGACCGTGGACGGAGCTGAGGAGAGACAGAAAGAGTTCATATATTTATTTAAGGTTCATGCTTACTAAATTGTACTTTTGTCAGGTTTTCCTGACACATCTGTCTTTCTTTTATCACATCACAGACATACAGAGAGAGAAAGGATAAACCCGGAAAACAAGGAGAGCCTTTTCTTCTTCTAAACTGTGGATTTGGAGTTAAGACCGCTATTGTCTGTTTGTTTTTTTTCCCCTGAAGCTGTTTTTGTTGAGGGTGAGAAAGTCAAACAGACTCAGAAACAGACACAACAGAGATATAAAGACATGAAAACACAATAAGCAAAAAGAGAAAAACAGCAAAAGAAAGTGAAAACGGATCTGAGGGATGCAAAGGAAGAAGACAGAGAAAAGATCTCTATGTATTATTTTCTTCATACATATTTTCTTCAAAAGATGTAGGCTAAACAAACTAGCATGACGATTATATATCAATATGACTATAAAATATTAAATATTAAAACAATAAAACTTTATAAGACTATAAAATATTAATATTAATAAAAAGAAGAAAAAGTATCATTATTTCAATTATGAAAGTATCATTATTTCAATTATTCTAAAAATTACAATACAAATTTTGATGGCTGTCTTTATTCCTTCATTTTCAAACATTAAACCATTTAGCTTTTATTCTGGCAAAAAACAACAACAACAAAAACGCAAGGAACCCATAGAGCATCTCTTTTATTAACAACAGGCATTTTATAAAAATAATATGAATATTATTATATATTAATATAATATTGTACACTAAAATTGACAATACTAACATTTATGGCTGTTTTAATTTCTTCATTTTCAAACATTAAATCATTAAATCAGAAAAAAATGAAACAGCATCTCTTTTGTTGTCAACAGCCGATGAACACAGTGCTGCGCTTTACTCATGAAACATGCAGCACATATATTAAATTAATTAAATTGCAGCCTTTGCATTAAACCAACTCGCGATTTTAGGGTTTACTTAGATTAACTGTGAACCAACAATATTTAAATCAATTTTACCCCACAATCAGCATAGAAAACATTAATTGTTGGCCTATCTACAAGCATCCAGAATTCAAATGCTGAAGTAGAGTTTCATCTCAGTGCATTAGCGAGTGTGTGTGTGAGTCTGTTAAACAATTCGATCCCCCACCAGCTGTAGCAGCAGCTCGACGGCGGCCCTCTCTCATCTCACAGATCCGTCTTCCTCTGCCAGGCCCGACAGACTAAACGTGATTTAGGGTTGTCCCTCGGGGGACTCCGAGTCGGCCCCCTCCAGCCAAAAACACAGGAGTCACCGGCCCCCCTTCACCCACCTAACACACTCATCTCTAACATACATCCATCATGCCGTCTGCTCTGACAGATATGGGCTGTAATGGAGTTGTGGGTGTGTGTGTGTGTGTGTGTGTGTGTTCAAGCACGTTAAGATTCGGTAAAACTGATTTAGGAACATCATGCTATATGGTTCATTTAACGCCTTTAGTGCATGCTGGGATATACTGTACTTCGCATGTGGTGTGAAGTTTTGTGGCATCCCTGTGAACTGTGACTATATATGTGAAAAATTATAATAAATATTATAAACCCACTTCTGAGAATATTCAAAATCCATCAAATTAATAGTTATGACTCTAAAATTTGATTGGATGAGACATAAATATAAAATATATACACACTGAAACGGTACAGAATATACTGAAGACTGGAGTAATGGCTACTTAAAATTCAGCTTTGCATTCACAGGAATAAATGACATTTAAAAAAGTATAAATATATAAAGCAGAAAATATTTAATTTAACAACATTACTTTTTTACTGTATTTTTTATCAAATAAATGCAGCCTTGCTGAGAATAAGAGACTTATTATTATTTTAAATAAAAATATATAAATATATATTAAAATATTATTATTATCTAAATATTATGCTATATTTAATATTATATATATTTTTTTAAATGTGTGTGAAAAAATGTGTTTCACACTGACTTTAATAATATATTTTAATTATACTTTTAATATATATATATATATATATATATTGTATGTTTACATAAATTATTTTTAATAATAGTGTTTTATGTGGTATATAAAAGTTAAAATACCCAGCAGACAAGTGATACATGGCTTTATTGCTCAAATACACATTTGATCAATTAAATAATAATAATTTATATTGATTAGACTTAATTTGATAGCAAAGGTTAATTCAAAATAAGTGCAAACATGTAATTATTTAGCATTTTAAGATTTTTATTTGTATATCCTTTCAAAAAGTCTCATAATGCTGCATCGTTTGTTGGCAAACAGTAATTTAATTTATAATATAAAAGTAGTGTTTTTACAATTATTAGAGGCATTCGAATGATTTGAAAGGTGAACATTAGTGTCTTTTATTATACTGCTGTTCCCTAAGATTAATAAAAAGCAACAGCGTGCTACAGTCATTTTTAGCACAGTTCAGGAGGTTCTACGTCCTCCACTAGCACTTCTCTTTCCTTCTGAAACTTTTAAAATATCGTTATCTGACTTTCTATTTTTCACTCCGAGAGCATGAATATATTGTGTTTTGTCTTATGAGAACTACGTTAATATCTACGTTAAGAGGTATATGTTAGTTATTCTAAATATGCTCTCATGACCGCCCAGCGCACGACTAAGTAGGACACATGTATTCAGGTCCTCTGTTCTATAGCCAAAGGCACATCACTGCATGGTAAAACCCCACCCTCCACCCTAAACTCCACACTCCAATCCCTCAGGATGATTTACAGGCTTGGCTTGTCACAGAAAGATCCGGATCTCCAGCTAACGCTCCATTCCGAAAGAAACCCAAGACACCATCAAGAGCACAGACCGCGTATCACACATCCACAACTACACACACACACTGCCATGAATCAAAATAGCGTTTTGACGCTCTACATGTATGTGTGTGTTTGTAATGGAGCAGAAAGGTCATACAGAAGTTCTCCGTAGGTGATTATGTGAGTGAAATTGAACCTTGTGAAATGTTTTCATTGAGGATTAGGTGAGAAATATAGTACACTACGGTCAAAAGTTCAGAATAATTAAGATTTTTTAATGTTTTTGAAATAATTTTCTAGGGATGCTGCGATCGATCGGCCGGAGATCGGTATCGGCCGATAATCATATTTTATGACTCGATCGGTACTCACCAACTTGGCCGATCTCAGGAACCGATCGCAATTTGATGACGTCAACGCGTGACGACGTACATGATGCGTGGGGACATAAATGATTTGGCGCCACAGTCATGTCATTGCCGGTGTGGAAATGTTATGACGTTTCAAGAAACAATGAAAAATTCGCTGCACAACTGTGGCGCGTTATGGCTCCACGGCCACCGGAGCTGATCACGGCCGCTCTAGTCAGTGCTTGTGTTTATCAGCCAGCCGCGGCACGTTTCTGAAGCGGTTATCGGCCGATCACCATGACAAGAAAACGGTACTCAGTATTGGCTGCAAAAATCCTGATCGGAGCATCCCTAGAAGTTTCTTATGCTCCCCAAGGATGTATTTATTTGATCAAAAATACAAAGAGTAATATTGTGAAATATTATTACAATTGAAAAGAACTGTTTTATATTTGAATATATTTTAAAATATAATTTATTCCTGTGATCAAAGTTGAATTTTCAGCGTCATTACTCCAGTCTTCAGTGTCACATGATCTTCAGAAATCATTCTAATATGCTGATTTGCAGCTCATTTATTATCCATTATTACTGGTGCTTAAAAACAAATAATGGTTCTTATTATTATCTATTGTTGAAAACAGTTTTTGCTGCTTATATTTTAGTGGAAACTGCGATTTTCAGGATTGATGAATAAAGGAACAGCATTTATTTGAAATAAAAAATCTTTTGTAACATTATAAATGTCTTTACTGTCAATTTTGCTCAATTTATTGCATTGCTGAATAAAATTATTATTTTCTATTTTTAAATCACGATTTCCATAAACAAAATTAAGCAGAACAACTGTTTTCAACAGTGATAATAATCAGAAATGTTTCTCGAGCAGAAAATCAGCATATTAGAATGATTTCTGAAGGATCATGTGACACTGAAGACTGGAGTAATGATGCTGAAAATTCAGATTTGATCACAGCAATAAATTACATTTTACAATATATTAAAATAGAAAACAGTTATTTTAAATTGTAATAATATTTCTGTTTTTACTGTATTTTTAATCAAATAAATGCAGCCTTGGTGAGCAGAAGAGACTTCTTTCACAAACATTTTAAAAAATGTTAAATATTCCAAACTTTGGACTGGTAGTGTACTATATTTCTCATCTAATCCTCAGTGAAAACATTTAATGTGGTTCAATTTCACTTGCGTAATTACATGCAAACATGATGCTTGATTAAATCTGAGCATGTTTGGACACACACACTCACCGGCCTGGTTGGTGGTGAGCATGATGGACGTGGCCTGCTCCAGACTGGGGCTGTGTTTGGACACCCCATTGACGGCCCAGATCTGGAAGGTGTAGTTGGTGTGCGCCTGCAGCTGGTGAACGGACACCCGCGTGGAGCGCAGACTCAGCCGCTGCGGAGAGTATCGCACGTCATCTCCACACGGCGTGCATCTCTGAGTGTCTCGCACACACTGCTTACACACCACGTTGTAGGTGAGATCCTGACGGCCTCCGGAGGTTATAGGCGGACTCCATTCTAACAGCACCGACGTCTCGTTGACATTAGAAATCAGATTGTGAGGAGCAGATGGAGGACCTGCGATAAACACAGAGAGAAAGAGAGCAAGAACTTTAAGTGCATAATCCTTACATTAAAACAGGCTGCTTTGCTGGGAATACCATGGAAAATGTAATTATATTTACATAACAATGTTGCAATGGAGGGAAAATTCAATTACATTTTTATATTATTTAATATAATATTATAATCTCATTTTATTTGGAACTTACATGGGCACAAAACAAAAGTTTATTCATAACATTAAAACAAAACACAAAAAAGTGAAATAAACATTCAATGAAAAATTATACGCACACAGTGTTTTAAAGAAATGAATACATTTACTCTGCAAGGATGCATTCAATTGATCAAAAGTGACAGTAAAGACATTTATAATGTTACAAAAGATTGAAATTTTCTAATAAATGCTGTTCTTTTGAAATTTCTATTCCTCAAAGAATCCTGAAAAAACCAACATGATTTACACAAAATATTAAGCCACACAACTGTTTCCAACACTAATAATATTAAATAATAATTATTATATAAAAATGTTTCTTGAGCACCAAATTAGCATACTAGAATGATTTATAAAGGTTTGCCAAAACATTTATTTATGTTACATTACATTTGAAAAATAGAAAACAGTTGAAATATAAAAGCTTATCTTAAAATGTAATATTTCCCAATACTAATATTTATTACCCCATATATATATATACTGTATAGCTTATATAATCGGAATTTACATATTACCTATAGATTTTATTGTAAATATTTATTCTAAATCAGAATTATGTCAGTTGCAATGATTTGATTGGATGAGCTACAGCTACAATTTTATTTGTTTTTTTCCACGGTTCTGTTTTGTTACTTTGTGTGTGTGTGTGTGTGTGTGTGTACTTATGCAAGTACCGTTTTGCGTACTCTAAAACATTCCATCCACTCTGAATAGTAGGATGAAAGAAGATAGACAGAAGAAATGAGGGGAAAAAACAAGAACAGAAGGAGAAGACAAACAGCGTCTGTTCTACAAAGAGATAGAGCTGGTCATTAGTATGGAAGAGAGAGAGAGAGAAAGAGGACAGACAGACAGCTGGTAGAGTGAGACCGATACTGTCTCATTTAAATTCATTTATTTGATGTGAGGAACATCTGCTGCGCATAAAAGGATGTAAACAAAAATAATCACATGCCCATGCACAACATTCTATTAGAATGTTTGCTATATATTAGTTATTTCTGTATATTTAATTTTTTCAGACAATATACTTTTCAGCTCATTTGTCATATATTTTGTAATTAATTTAGTTCAATTTATTTTTTTATTTTTTAATCTAAGGAAAACATTACATTATGAAGCTATAGATTGTTCAATAGTCAAGGGGGAACGTCTGGATTATACTCTATGAAGCCTGCTGTATCATATTTGATGCAGAAATTTCCTCTTAATTATCAATATGCCCTGTTGTACACAATCTACTACATGCCTTCTGACGTCTGATTGATAGTACCGGTATTACTTTTTTAGCAAGTAAAAGGCCTTTTAGTATAATTGTTAAAAAAAAAAAAAGGTCCACTTTCTTTACTGATTTTTATAGAGTAAACATACGATAAGTTTTATATTGATAGTAATATTTCAAGATGAACACTTATTGGACTAAAGCAACTTAGGATTACTTAATTATTCATACATAATTTTTTAGAAAAATCATGTTCAATTGTGAGTATCAAATATGATCATCAGGGAAAGTTTATTTGTTCTTCTCTCAATCATCATTGCATTTTTAGATTTTGTTCAATGGTTCAATAAACTGTTCCATTTCAAAAAATCTGATTTTTCAGACTATTATGTAAGGCTTTACAGGGTTAAAATGCTTATAAAATGGAAACCACAATATTTGACAAGTCTAAGAGTCTATACATTTTAGTAAAAGTAACAGTGGAAAAAGTCACTTAAACACCCATATAAATCACCACCATAGTGTACAAAAAAACATGGTACACGCACTTCAAACTGGTGCGAATGTTTGTGTTTAACTCACGTGTGCAAGGCATGGTGGCAGGATCCGTCTCCGATCTGTAATATCCTTTGTCACAATCACAGGAAGTAGCTCCTTCTTTCGTGGAGTAACTGTGCAGTGGACATTTACGACAGCCGCCGTCCGAAGAAAGAGACCTGTAGTAGCCCACCTTACACACTATGAGAGAAGAGAAAGATACAGGATGGCTTTAATTCAGTGTAAAACAAGGCGCTGAAAATTTTACCCAGATAACAAAATACCTGGGCTATGACTCAAACTATTATAAAACATTATTAAACGACTCAAGTTATGAAATTATTATAAAGTATATAAGCAGACAAAGATGGAACATGAAAACCTGCCAGTTTTCCAAATACAAAACAGTGATGCATTTATGATGGAGAGAGAAGCCAGGAAAGGGAGGTGAAGTCAAGAGACTGCGAGACAGACCAGACGATGATGAATAAGGAATTCTGGGAGTCTTCCCAGCATGCACCAGTCCTAACCTAACCCTAACCCATCCATACGTCTGAAGAATCTGCCTCGCACATCTGAGTAAAACATGTTTTGACATATCATGACTCATAAATAAAAGAATGCATGATGTTTAAATAATCTAGCGTGTCGCGTCCTCCTCCTCCTGCCTGAAAAACACTGTTTTTCATCATCCTTATCACTCATTTACGTGCAAACACAAGCACGCACGGAAACCACTCTCTGTGTGTTTGGACGTCTGTATGCATATGAATGAAAACTAGGAGGATGAAAGATGCCTTGGACTCCAGCGCACTACTATAAACTTCTATCAGACTCCAGAGACCAAACAGAAACGATGGGAACGTGGGGTCGAGTTTAGGTGGTTAGCGTGACCCTGTTATCTCCTGCTGGTAGATGTCGCAACTACAAACAACATATGATGGCAAAAAGCATCTTTTTGCATTAACGACTATTCAAAAGCAGCCGTGCATGGAAATGCAAACAGAGACATCCAGAAGTAATTTAATAAGCTATTTCAGTCATTAATGCACTTTTTTTATAAGTTTGTATAATACTTATAACACAAACACAGCAAAAGTCATTCATGAATACTTAAACCTGTTAAGCCTGAACAGTCTATTGAACCGTTAGACAAAATATTTTAAAAAATGCATGTGCATTATAGTATTATATTTGATTCATCAGGCTTTTATGGCTCATATAGCATGATATAGTGAGAATATAGAGCTCATACTCAAAGAGGAAAAACACTGCAGTTTTATTCAGAGGAATAACTGAGCAAAAATATGCAATTTGGTGCAGATGCTGATATTTAAATGGACAAAAAGTGATGGAGATGAAATTCTGAAGCTTGCAATGTAACTCAATTAGATCTTTATAAGAGTATAACAGACTAATTACATTCAATTATATAAATATGAGTTCTCCCAATAATTTAGTCTTAGTCAGTGTTTGGGAAAGTTACTTTTAAAAGTAATGCATTACAATATTGTGTTACTTCATAAAAAAGTAACTACTTGCATTATTTAGTTACTTTTTACGGAAAATAAGACACTACTTTTTTGTTACTTAACTGGGCTGGGCTTGCTTATTTGTTTTTCAATAACAAAAAACTCAAAAGTTATATTTTTGGCAATTGTAAAGGCCCGTTCACACCAAAAATGTGACAGAAGAGATGTCAGTCTCAATAAATGGGAAAACAAAGTAACTTGCTTTACTTATTTGAAAAAGTAACTTCGTTGTACATTTAAAAGTAACGCGTTACTTCACTAGTTAGATACTTGAAAAAGTAATCTGATTACATAACTCAAGTTACGTAACCCAACACTGGTCTTAGTAAGATGATATTTAAATGCTTAGTTTTATGATCAAAACATATAATGCAATGCAATACAATGATGATTGAGAGATGAACAAATAAAAGCCTGATGATCCTATATGAGACTCACATTTGAACATGATTTAAAAAAAAAAATATATATATGTATGGATAATCAAGTAAGGTAAGTTGCTTCAGTTCAGTATTTGTTCATTTTGAAATATTACTAACAATATAAGTTATCCTTGTGTTTACTTTATAAAAATCAGTAAAGATTTCACAGCAAAAAGACACGTGAAGCACAAGCTGAAGGTGGACGTTTGTAATAAAACCAAAAGGCCATTTACTTGCTAAAAACTATAAACTATCAATCAGATAACAGAAGGCATGTAGTAGATTGTGTACAACAGGTTGTTCAGCAAGGTTTTTTTGTATCAAATATGATACAGTACACTTTATAGGGTTAAATGTTGTTGGAAAACTGCTGAAAATAAAGAAAACCTCTCTCATTCGCTCTTTCCACTGGACTTAATCGTCACTGAACTGAAAGAGCTTTTCTGTAAGGACAAAAACCCTCCAGACATCCAAACACTGACTATATGACATGACCCTCTCAGATAAAGAGACAAAGAAAAGTGTCTTCTGGTTTCCAACAGGCATAACAACATTCCCTCATATCTATACAGGATGAAGAACAGAAATATCAGTCACATTTCTGACCCCTCAAATCAACGTCTTTCCATTAGTGAGACGCTGAGAGACAGACGAGTTGCGTTGAGAGACGAATGCATCAGTGGGTGGCCTGATCGCTCCTCAAAATCCTCCCACATACACTCACTGACACACACAGACAGGCAGAAGACACTTCAAGAGCATCTTGTACTTTTCATACAAGATCTCGTACGCATCTCGTTCTGATTGTCTCTGTCTTTGCTCTTCTCTCGTTATATGCTTGAATCTACTCTAAAACCTTGTTGTCACTCATTTCTCTGTCATTCTTCATTGGATGCAACTCAATCTTTAGGAAAGAATCATAGAATAGGAGAAAAGTTAATAGGATGAATTATGTTTAAAGGGGCCATCGGATGCCCATTTTCCACAAGTTGATATGATTCTTTAGGGTCTTAATGAAAATTATGTAACATAGTTTGGTTAAAATTTCTCAATGGTAGTGTAAAACGACACCGTTTTTACCATCAAAAACAGCTCTTTTCAGAGCAAGCTGTTTTCTTGCATGCTGCTTTAAATGCAAATGAGCTCTGCTCGCCCCGCCCCTCTCTTCCGAGCCGCTCTTTGAGAGACGGTAAACTTTAGCCGCATT